CAAAAAGTTTCAGAGTATGAAACTCCAAGTACTTGCCCTCCCATAGAAACACTGAAAGACAAGCAATTAATCAAGCAAACTGTGTCAAAACTCTGAGAAACAGTCAAAGATTTAAAAAAGTCTAATGAATATAGAATCAAGAAAAAGAGAACTTGGAAATTCTGTGGCATTTTTTACTTGCCCTTAGCTCACTCAGTCCCTTGGCTGTAGCAGTCTTCAAGAGGGAAGCTCACACACCCAGCTTGGGAGTCTGGTACCTGGTTCCGGACAGAGCACAGCAGATCATTTTGTAAGTTGTTGTGCACATCTGCTTGAACCTGGTCAGGGGCAACCTGAAGGAGTAACCAAAAAGGCATTTCTCTTTGTTTAGGCAACTTAGAAGAAAGCATCAGGCATTACTGGAACATACTGCAAGGCAAACTAAGAGCCCAAGGATGCCTGGGGCAAAAGATTGCAAGTGAAACACAAAATAGACCAACCCAATGCCTGGGAGCAAAAGCTAGTGAGAGTTTCTCTGGGAAATTAGGACATTCAAAAGGACTCATATACGTGGGAGAATGCAGAAGGCCATGTGCCTTTCAGAGGAATATGCATGATCAGAAAGAAACAGAGAAGACAGCTTCCCCAGCAGGAAGGAGTGCAAGCCTGAGCAAATGTTTAAGGACTCTGGCAGCACAGCCTACAAAGACATGGTGCCACTTGGTTTTCCAGTACTAGGGTTTTGTTGTTGTTGTGATTGCTGTTGCTCTTAATAGCTCCTGACATTCAAGAATATCTCTGTTAAACACAAGAAACAATGACCTCAGTCACTACATATCACAATGAGTAAGTATTTTCAAAAATAGTTTGGGAAGTCACTAACAAATGGACTACTATACTCTTCAACAACTCTGCCCAACACTATAAATGATCAGATCTGTGTGAATACAGGGTCTTCAAGAACTTCATATTATGTGAAGAACTATGGATGGATTTAAACGTTTTTGCACTACAATGGAATTACCTCTTAATTCACTTTTTCCAGAAACTTTTCAAGTCCCCCTGTATATAGAAAACACCAGCAATGGGCCCTGCACCTGCATGGGAAACCAGGAGGAAGCACCTGCCTCCTGGCTTCAGATCTGTGTGGCGCACCAGCCACAGAGTGCTGGCCATGGCGGCCATTTGGGAGGTGAACCAACAGAAGGAAGAACTTTCTCTCTGTCTCTCTCTCTCTCTCTCACTGTCTAACTCTGCCTGTCAAAAAAAAAAAAAAAAAAGGGCCGGCGCCGCAGCTCACTAGGCTAATCCTCCGCCTAGCGGCGCCGGCACACCGGGTTCTAGTCCCGGTCGGGGCACCGGATTCTGTCCCGGTTGCCCCTCTTCCAGGCCAGCCCTCTGCTGTGGCCAGGGAGTGCAGCGGAGGATGGCCCAGGTGCTTGGGCCCTGCACCCCATGGGAGACCAGGAAAAGCACCTGGCTCCTGGCTCCTGCCATCGGATCAGCGCGGTGTGCCGGCCGCAGCGCACCGGCCGCGGCGGCCATTGGAGGGTGAACCAACGGCAAAGGAAGACCTTTCTCTCTCTCTCTCTCTCTCACTGTCCACTCTGCCTGTCAAAAAAAAAAAAAAAAGAAAAGAAAGAAAGAAAGAAAACATCAGCAAACAAAATAAGAATGTGTAAATAAATCAATTGAATATGGGATATTCTCAGTACAGATAATATGTTAGACCACAAAGTAAGTGTCTATATATTTCAGACAAGATTGGAAGCGGCATTCAGGGTGGTATGGGCACAGTCAGTACCAAGGTATTTCTTTTTTTTTAAGATTTATTTATTTATTTAAAAGTCAGAGTTACACAGAGAGAGGAGAGGCAGAGAGAGAGAGAGTCTTCCACCCGATGGTTCATTCCTCAATTGGCTGCAATGGCCAGAGCTGTGCCGATCCAAAGGCAGGAGCCAGGGGACTCCTCCAGGTCTCCCACATGTGTGCAGGGGCCCAAGGACCTGGGGCATCCTCCACTGCCTTCCCAGGCCACAGCAGAGAGCTGAATCAGAAGCAGAGGAGCCAGGACTCGAATCGGTGCCCATATGGGATGCAGGCACTCCAGGCCACAGCACCGGCCCCCAATATCAATATATTTCAAAGACTGAAATCTTACAAACTATCATTTCTGACCCTAAGAAAATAAGAAATCAATGACAAATGAAAAGTGGAAAATTCTGAAATATAATACAAATATGTCCAGCACAGATAAACAGATGGACAATGGATGGATAGATGCACAGATGTACACAAAAACAGATACATACACATACACATACAGTGGTTTAAGATTTTAAGGAGCATAAAAATGCTTTGAATGATCCCTGGTTCAACTTTAAAGATTTTTCCGCACCCCCAAGCAAAAACATTACTGAAATGGTAAAATTAAACTGTCACATTCAGTTTTAAAAAAACCAGGAAGCAGGACCATCATGATTAAAAGCTAAGGCACAGGCAAGACGGATCTAAACACATGCTTGAGGAGAACATTTGGCCTAGCAGTTGAGACAGAGGTTGGGATATCTGCATCTCATAACAAAGTGGTGGGGTTTGGGTCCTAGGTCCATTCTCACTTACAATTTTGTGTTGGTGCACACCCTGGGACACAACAGGTGATGGCTGAAGTGGTTATATACTTGCCATCCATGTGGGAGACCTGAATGGAGTTCCTGGTCTCTGGCTTCTGTGGGCATTTTGAGAGTGAACCAGTGGAAAGGGGCTTTCTCTGTCTCTTTCTCTGACTGCCTCTCTAATAAAATTTTAAAAATACGTTTTCTTCAATTTCCCCAAAATTAAGACAATTAGTAGTTTATATGACAAAATGGAATTAGGAATAATAAAGAACATAAATGTATATAAAGTGCTTAGTGTAGTATGTAGTACAATGTAAGTCCTCAATAAAGCTATCATTTTTATGAGCATTTTACTCAATATATTTATAATATTGGTTCCAATGAAAGAATAAAAGTTAAAGACTCTTAGTCCTGCATGAACAGAATATATTTACTCCTTAAACACCTAAAATCATTAAACATTTCCAACTCTTTATTCTTAGTACATAAAAGGCATTATTTCTGATACTTTAATGACCAAAACTTTATTTTGTGCATTACACAAGGATGATGTGCCAAACTTGTGTGTCCTTGTAACATCACTCCTGTCAGTGGCCATACTAAACATCAAAAATGACACAAAGGAAGAGAATGGAAAATGATACAGCAAATTTAATAAAATTGAAATTTAAGACATTAACTCATCAAATTAGTGAGCTTAATACACACACACATATATATGTATATGTATTATATGTTTCTTGGAATTGACAAAATACAAATAAAGAACTAAAACTACATTCCATCTAGTAGTCAACACAACATATAATACAGTACATAACATTACACATACACAAGAATAGTACAATAAAATTTATGAGAAAAATTCATTCATGATTCTGTAACTAAATGGAAAAAGGACTAATTATAAAGATAATTGTAAATAGAACTACCTAATTTAAATTAACATCTAATAACAGAAAAGTAAATATTCCTATTATGACTATCATATCTCCATGTACTCTATGGATCTCAAAACTGTTTTAAATCTCAGGAGAAAGAGAGATAAAAAGAGAGAGAAAGGGAGGGAGGGAGGGAGGATTGGTCTTGAATCCACTGGTTCACTTCCTGGTGGCTTACCCAATGGATAGAAGATTCTCATTCATTCTCTCTCTCTCTCTCTCTCTCTGCCTCTCCCTCTCTGTTCATAGCTGTGCCTTTCAAATAAATAAATCTTTATATATATATTTATAATTTTTTTCTCCTTAAGATACACAAAATATATGATGTTGAATCAAAATCAAAGGGATCGCTGTTCAGGCTCAGTTTTTAAGGATTTTTTAAAAAAGATTTATTTATTTGAGAGGTAGCATTACAGAGAGAAGAAAAGAAAGAGAAAGGTATTCCATCTGCTGGTTCCAAAGGCAGGAACTTGAGCTTCCTCAGGGTCTCCCACTTGGGTGCAGGGGTCTGAGCACTTGGGCCATCATCAGTGGCTTTCCCAGCCCATAAGCAGAGAGCTTAGTCAGAAGAAGTGCAGCTGGACATGGACCAGCTCAGCCTACTGCACCAGCCATGAAATTACTGTTTTCAAGGCAGAGTATTCTGCTGAATTCTTCTTATGAGGCCAGTGTTACTCCAATACCAAAACCAGACAAAGACATAACATGAAAAGTAAACTTAGGCCAATTTTCCTGATACACACAGAAGTAGAAATTCTCAACAAAATGTTAGCAAACTGAGTCCAATGCTACATCAAAAAGATAAGACGCAGAATAAAGAACAAACACCATATGTTCATCTCAATAAATGCAGAGAAATCATATGCTATGATTCAGCATTCATTCTTTATAAAAACTCTCAAAAATTAGTTATACAAGGAGCATTTCTCAAAATGATACAGCTACAAGTGTGTATACATATATGTATATGACAAACCAACAACAAGTATCATGCTGAATTCATAAAACTTGAAAGCATTTTCTGTCAGATCTAGAACAAGAATAGGATGTCCAATTTTTACCACTCTTACTTGATATAGTGTTTAAAGTATTAGCATGAGCAATTACAGAATTAAAGAAACAATGAGCTTCACAACCCATAAAAGAGAAAATCAAAATAGCCATGTTTGCAGATGACATGATTCAGTACATGTGCCTCACATTAAAACTGTTAACCATCAACTCTAATGGAAATAGGTCCTTTAAGTCACTCAACTTCCTTCACAGGAAGAGAATGATAAGTGTGTCTTGGAGTCAGTTTAGGAAACCAAACTTGGACTCCAAAATAATATGCTTGGACACAAAAATATTTATGTAGACAGCAGCACAGCATCACCTAAAGACTGGTATGGCTCACTTTGAAAATTCCATGGTGTCCTGTCACCATGGTAACATGGTGAATGACATCATCCTGCCATTCCAACTGTCACTCTCTTGAGCTGAAAGGTTCAAACTTGAGTGCAGTGGTAACGTGCATATGGTCATATCCAGAGCGGTCCAAGATGGGAAATCTCAACTGCTGTCCAGCAGGTAGGTTCACACTGACTTTCACAATGATGTTTCTTCCAATGCGCCACTTCTGCTTAATACACTTTCCTCATGGACTTTCATTTCCCCCATTCCAGGCTTTCTACAGATTTCTAAATGCATTTGTCATCTGTATTACTCAATTTCTACTTTTGATGCTGCTATTAAGTTTGTTTCAAAATATTTCCTAAATTTTGAAAAATACATTATTCCTAATGCCAAGTTTGTTCACAACTTATTCAGAAAATGAATGAAAGAAACTCACACTACTGTCATCAGGTCAGGTAAAATTAAGACCAAACACATAAGACATCACACAAAAAGGAACTTTGAAGCCAATTTCTTCTGTCTGTAGAGTTCACTATCTGAGACCAAGACTGTAAGAACAGTTTGAATCCAAATAATTTTTGTCACATTGGAAAGAGATTGGGATTTCAGGGAGGGTTTCCATGGGGTGAATAAGCACATGAAACCTGTTGTTTGGGTGTTGTCAGGAAAACAGGAAGGAGGGACAGTGCTGTTGCTTACTGGGACAGACATCTGAAGACAGAGAGAAGAGGGTCTGCCTGAAGGTCCTCAGGCAGAATCACAGGTTGTATGGGGCAAGTATGACGATGAATGAGCCTCACCAGTGGGAGAGGGAACTGTGTATGCTGTCCCTGCAGGGTCTAGGGAGAGGTGAAGAGTTCCTAGGGACTGGGTTTTGGTGAGGGAAGTCATTGGCATGAAGGTGGGCACACAGAGTTGGTACAGACACTGTCTTTTTATCAGAAAGTGATTTTAGACTGCTCAGCCACTTTCTATGAAGTGTAAGTACTAGGTTTTTTGTGACATTAAAAAATACACATGAGACAGGGTAAACTATAAAGAAAGAAGACCCATAAGCTCAATATTCTCAAGTCCAGGTTTCAAAGATCAGATACCCGTATCAAATGTCCATATTGTGTCCTATCATCATGGAAAATTAGAAGAGCAAGCAGAGTCACACAGAAGAGACACAGGAAGAGGGGTCAGCCTTATGTTCTAATGAACATCCCCAGTATTAACCAGTTCAGTACCGAGAGAGCCACATGAATTCCCTGCAACAATCTGATCCCAAATTCCCCATCCCCCAGCACCACAACAATGGAATGGCCCCATTTTGGGTGAATTCCTGTTCAGTGTTCATGCAGCATTGGCCATGGCAGAGAAGTCAATTCTTGGCTCACCCTCACATGGCAGTTGCTCTGGGATGTCCTGAGTTTTGACCCAGCTTTAAAACCAAACATACCACTGGCCCTGTGGGGACATCTGGCCATGGAGAAGGCTGAGCCAGTAATAGTGTGAAGATGCTGGGCCATGATTGGCATAAGTTTGGGTTTCTCCAGACCCACAGAGAGGATGTCCTGGAGGAAAGCGTCATATTTTAAGTCAAGAATAGAAACCTGTTAGAAACTTAAAATAGAAACCTATTTTAAGTCAGGAAGGCATCTGAGTCATGATTTCTCTTGTCTCCAGGACTTTGCCCCGAACAAGACTATTCCTGAAGAAATCCTGCCCTGGAAGATGTCAGAAAGCCACTTAGAGTTCTTAGTCCAGGGTTCTAGTGGAGATATTCATGGTCCTCTATCCTTTAGGGAACCAATGATGAGATTGTCCCAGATCCATAACTTGTCAGTGTTATGAATGTGGACAACTCACAGACATTGCATAATTTTCAATTTGCTTCACAGTAAATCACATGAAATAGGCTCTGATCTGCCCATAGCTTGGGGCTATGTGGGGAACATAGGAATGACCAAGATTGTCCATGAGCTGTAAAGCTTCCTACACATCAAAAGGAAGGAGAGTAATTTCTATCCTCTCCTCCTCTGTGGTCAGTTATCCTCCCTGCATTCAATCACTACCAGGTGGTCAGCTTGTGCTTCCAGGCATTTGAAGATTGAAGAATTTCAGACAATCAGGCTTGATGTAGATTCATTTGTTCTTAATCACTTGAGCTCAAACACAACATGGGCCATATAAATATTTCCACATCTCAAAACAGGGAACTTAGACACATGCTGGTTGTGGGGTGGAGTGGGGGATGGGAGGACTCTGTAACTTTTCAGGTACAAGCAGCTTCTCTCTAAGATTTGAACTGTCAAGCACAGGTCCCTGTTCTCTCATCTCAACAAAGGTATTTAGCTACACTATCAAACTGATGGGTAGGAAATGTTCATCAAAGTGCAAGATCTGCTTAACATCCAACTGTGATTTAGAAGATGGTTCTGCATGATTGAATGTGAAAACTGGGATGAAAATTAGAAAATGCAATGATTAAACACCTCTCTGTGGTCTCCCACCATTGGGATGTCAACAGCTGTCTGTATTGTCAAACTGTTCCAGGATCTTGTCTAAAGTGTTTTAGATGAAAAGGAAGTCGAAGGTCAAGAACATCGACTGCCCATTCCATACAGAAGGTCAGAAAAATCCGTGTCTTGCCAAAAAACACTATACCTCCAACAATGGAGTCAGTTGAAGGTACTGTGCAAATTCAATCAGTAAGCTCATTCAACAATCAGGATTCCACTTTATTCAGGGTCTCATAGTTAAGACAAAACTCTTAAAAGCTATGCTATCTGTCTTTCATTCCATGTTTGCAAAATTAAAATTGGTCAACACAATCAGCATGGTGACCACTACAGTGGAAAGACATGTTAACACTAAACTTGGGGTCACTGTTAGTAGTAACATCTCAGTCAACTGTTCACATGTTTGCCTGATTGTGCAACATGGTTTGAAATGGACACTTCACTGAGAATGCCACCAGATTTCATACTAATATTAAGTCATAATATTAACTGCTGATAAAGTATGAAACCTGAACAGAAAGTTTTCTTTTTCTTATGACAGTTCCATTAGTAAGGTACATTTTTAATGGAGACTGAACCAATAAAGAAATATTACTTTTTAATGAAAACTTTTATTTAATAAATATAAGTTTGAAAGTACCACTTTTGGATTATAGTGGTTTTCCCCCCATAAGAACCCTCCTACCCACAAACCATCCCATCTCCTACTACTTCTCCCATCCCATTCTTCATTAAGATTCATTTTTAATTATCTTTATATACAGCAGATCAACTTAGTATATACTAAGTAAAGATTTCAACCCACACAGACACACAAAGTATGAAGTACTTTTTGAAGACTAGTTTTGCCATTAATTTTCATAATACAACACATTAAGGACAGAAATCCTATGTAGGGAGTAAGTGCACAGTGACTCCTGTTATTAGCAATTGACACTAATATTTATGATGTCAGTAATCACCCGAGGCTCTTGTCATGAGCAGCCAAGGCTATGGAAGCCTCTTTAATTCACATTCTCCAACCTTATTTAGACAAGGCCATAATCAAAGTGGAAATTCTCTCCTCCCTTCAGAGAAAGGTACCTCCTCTTTGATGGCCCATTCTTTCTGCTGGGATCTCACAGAGATCTTTCATTTAGGTAATTTTTTTTTGCCACAGTGTCTTGGCTTTCCTTACCTGAAATACTCTCATGGGCTTTTTAGCCAAATTCGAATGCCATAAGGGCTGATTCTGAGTCCAGAGAGCTGTTTAGGACAACTGCCATTCTATGAGTCTGCTGTGCATCTTGCTTCCCATGTTGGGTCATTCTCTCCTTTTTAAGTCTATCAATTATTATTAGCACTCGATCTTCTTTATGTGGTCCATTTGACACTTAATACTATCTTTATGATCAGTTATAAACTTAATTGATCACTTTACTAATAAAATGGAATTGGTACATGCCAAAATAATGGTATTTGGAGCCCCATGGCAACTTGCTAGCTCTACCATTAGGGGTAAGACTGAGTGAGTGTGTGCTGAACTGTACATTTCCTCCCTCTCTTATTCCCACTCTTATTTTGACAGGGATTAATTTTCAGTTAAATTTAAACACCTAAGAATAATTGCGTGTTAATTAAAAAGTTCAACCAATGGTATTAAGTAGAACAAGAAAATACTAAAAATAAAATACTAAGCTGTTCTTCAAGAGTCAGGACAAAAAAAGGGCTGATCAAGTCACTGTTTCTCATAGTGTCCACTTCACTTCTACAGGTTTCATTTCAGGTGCCAAGTTAGCTGTCACAGATCAGGGAGAATAAATGAAATTTGTCCCTTTGGTAGTGGCTAATTTCACTCAGCATGTTTTCCAGATTCCTCCATTTTGTTGCTAATGACAACATTTCATTTTTTTACTGCTGTGTAGTATTCTATAGAGTACATATCCCATAATTTTTTATCCAGTCTTCTGTTGATGGACATTTAGATTGATTCCATGTCTTAGCTATTGTGAATTGAGCTGCAATAAACACTTGGGGCAGATAGCTCTTTTATTTGCCAATTTAATTTCCTTTGGGTAAATTCCAAGGAGTGGTATGGCTGGATCATGTGGTAGGGCTATATTCAGGTTTCTGAGGAACCTGCAAACTCTCTTCCATAGTAGCTTTACCAGTTTGCATTCCCACCAACAGTAGATAAGTGTGCCTTTTTTCCCACATCTTCACCAGCATCTGTTGTTAGTTGATTTCTGTATGTAAGCCATTCTAACCAGAATGAGGTGAAACTTCATTGTGGTGTTGATTTGCATTTCCCTGATGGCTAGTGATCCTGAACATTTTTTCATGTGTCTGTTGGCTGTTTGGATTTCCTCTTTTTAAAAATGTCTATTTAGGGGCCGGCGCCGCGGCTCTCTAGGCTAATCCTCCACCTGCGGTGCCGGCACACGGGGTTCTAGTCCCGGTCGGGGCACCGGATTCTGTCCCGGTTGCCCCTCTTCCAGGCCAGCTCTCTGCTGTGGCCAGGGAGTGCAGTGGAGGATGGCCCAGGTGCTTGGGCCCTGCACCCCATGCGAGACCAGGATAAGTACCTGGCTCCTGCCATCGGATCAGCGTGGTGCCCCAGCCACAGTGCACCGGCCGCGGCAGCCATTGGAGGGTGAACCAACGGCAAAGGAAGACCTTTCTCTCTCTTTCTCTCTCTCTCTCTCACTGTCCACTCTGCCTGTCAAAAAAAAATGTCTATTTAGGTCCTTAGCCCATCTCTTAAGTGGGTTGTTTGCTTTGTTGTTGTGGAGTTTCTTGATCTCTTTGTTGATTCTGATTATTAACCCTTTATCAGTTCCATAATTTGCAAATATTTTTTCCCATTCTATTGGTTGCCTCTTCACTTTCCTGTTTCTTTTGCAGTACAGAAACGTCTCAATTTGATGCAATCCCAAATGTTAATTTTGGCTTTGACTGCCTGTGCCTCTGGGGGCTTTCCAAGAAGTCTTCACCTACCCTATATCTTGCAGGGTTTCTTCAATGTTCTCTAAAAAATTGATGGTGTTGGGTCATAGATTTAGATCTTTAATCCATGTTGAGAGGATTTTTATGTAAGGTGTAAGGTAGGGGGTCTTGCTTCATACTTCTGCATGTGGAAAACCAGGTTTCCCAGCACCATTTGTTGAACAGACTGTCCTTGCTCCAGGAATTGGTTTTAGATCCTTGATAAAATATAAGTTGGTTGTAGATGTTTGGATTGATTTCTGGTGTTTCTATCCTGTTCCATTGGTTTCTCCATCTGTTTTTGTGCCAGTACCATGCTGTTTTGATTATAACTGCCCTGTAGTATGTCTTGAAATCTGGTATTGTGATGCCTCCTGCTCTGCTTTTGTTGTCCAAGATCACTTTAGCTATCCCAGTGCCTCCATATGAATTTTAACCTCATTTTTCCAGATCTGAGAAGAATGTCTTTGGTATTTTGATTGGTATCACATTGAATTTATGATTCATAAATTATGCTTTGGGGAGAATGGACATTTAGATGTTGATTCTTCCAATCCATGAACATGGAAGATTTTTCCATTTTTTGGTATCCTCTTCTATATCTTTCTTTAAAGCTTTGTAATTATTATCGTAGAGATCTTGATATCCTTGGCTAAGTTTATTCCAAGGAATTTGATTTTTTGTAGCTATTGTGAATGGGAGTGATCTTAGAAGTTCTTCCTCAGCCATGGCATTGTCTGTGTATACAAAGGCTGTTGATTTTTGTGCATTGATTTTATATCCAGCTGCTTTGCCAAACTCTTCTATGAGTTCCAATAGTCTCTTAGTGGAGTTTTTTGGATCCCCTAAATAAAGAATCATACCATCTGCAAAGAGGTACAGTTTGAGTTCTTCCTTCCCAATTTGTATCCCTTTAATTTTTTTTCTTGGCTAATGGCTCTGGCCAAAACTTCCAGTACTATATTGAATAGCAATGGTGAGAGTGGGCATCCCTGTCAGGTACCAGATCTCAGTAGAAATGCTTCCAACTTTTTCCCATTCAATATAATGCTGGCCATGGGTTTTTCATAAATTGCCTTGATTGTGTTAAGGAATGTTCTTCTATACCCAGTTTGCTTAGAGTTTTCATCATGAGAGGATGTTATATTTTATCAAATACTTTCTCTGCATCTATTGAGATGCAGAGATGGTTTTTCTTCTGCAGTCTGTTAATGTGGTGTATCACATTGATTGTTTTGCTAATGTTGAACCATCCCTGCATGCCAGTGATAAATCCCAGTTGGTCTGTGTGGATGATCTTTCTGATGTGTTGTTGAATTCTATTGGCCAGAATTTTATTGAGGAAATTTACATCTATGTTCCTCAGTGAAATTAGTCTGTAATTCTCTTTCTCAGCTGCATCTTTTTCAGGTTTAGGAATTAAGTTGATGCTGGCTTCATAGAAACAATTTGGTAGGATTCCCTCTCTTTCAATTGTTTTGAATAGTTTGAGAAGAATTGTAGTTAGTTCTTCTTTAAATGTCTGGTAGAATTCAACAGTGAATCCATCCAGTCACAGGCTTTTCTTTGTTGGGAGGTCCTTTATTACTGATTCCATCTCTGACTTGGTTATGTGTCTGTTTAGTTTTTATGTCTTCATAGTTCAATTTAGGTAGGTTGTATGTGTCCAGGAATCTATACATTTCTGATAATTTCCCAGTTTGTTGGCATACAACACTTTATAGTAATTTCTGATGAATCTTTTTATTTCTGTGGTGTCTGTTGTTACATTCCCCTTTTCATCTCTAATTTTATTGAGTTGCATCTTCTCTCTCCTTTTTTTGGTTAGTTGGGCCAATGGTGTGTTATTATTGACTCAACTCCCAAGTTTACACTAAGGTTGGTTCTCATGGTTCTAGCAGTCTGAGGTGTCTGTGTCCTCCATTTCTCTTGTTCTGTTACTTTTCCAATGGCCTCTATATTTTCATTTATACTCCTAATTATAACCTGACTCATCACTATCTCCATTTTAATTCACTGTTATTTGTGGAGACCCTGTTGAACTGGAGGTGAAGAATGGGAGAAGGAAAAGTTTGTATCAACATATGCTTCAACTCATTTTTAAGTCAACCTGAATCCTTGAACTTTTATCTCTCCTATTCTCCCTATTTATTTTAGTAAAACTAGCAGGGATTAGAGTTGTCTGGATGCCCCCTTTACGGGTCTTGTAAGGTCCTGATGGTTGCCTTTGGAGGATGTGACTTTGTTATGAAGGACACCCTAGGTATATTTCACAATGGTCACTTTTCCACCTGAGTATTTCCAAAAGGGCATTTTCATGCTATCCTGTGCCCACAAGGGATTTTCAATTGAGCTTCACCATGAGAATCTGGTGGACTTGTGGAGCACAAACATATGGAAGTGTGGTGACCCCTGTGAGATTGGAACCCCCTGGAATTGTTCTCAAGTAGGTGCACTCAGCCATCCACATTCCCATTTATGTGTTTCTGTGAGCAACAGGTTCCAGTGACCCCTGCTTCAACTATGCTGATTTCAGCTGTGCTTCTCTGCATCTGTCATCTGCAGACAGAAATTTCAGGGTGGCAGCTTGATACATCTAAGTTGTGCCTTTTTGAGGTTTGTCTCTCCCTTTCTATAACACCATTGTGTATCACTAAGAAGTAGATAGCAGAAGATGAAGCAGGTATCTCTGTACCTCAGTGTTCACAGCGAGCAGAGAGTAGAAACAAAAAAAAAACTGGATTATTTCCCAGTATTTACAAACAAATGGAGGAGTAATGACAATGTGGTATATGAACACAGTGGAATCATTATAATATGTAAAAATGAATTAAAGCTTTATACCACACCATGGATGGACATGGTAACACATGACACTTACTGAAATAAGGTGGACACAGAAAGACAAACACTGCATGTTTCCATTACAATGACATGTATACAATAGGCAAATTCAAAGGGGCTGGAAGTACAGATTAGTTGGGGATGGAAAGAGGGGGAGTTACATTTCTTCTTTTATAGATGCAGAGATTAGATTGGATATTATGACAACTGTTGGGGTACACAGGTGTTGTGCTTACACACCACAGCCAAGTAATTCATGCCACTGAAATAATATACAATAATAAATGTCTACTTGCCCACAGCAATTTAAAAATACCTGAACGGATAATGGCAAATGTAATACTGCTTATGTAGATTCATAGAGGTAAATGATCTTGAAACACATCTAGAAGTGGGGATTTCAATGGCCTACAAAATGGTCAGGAGCAATGATGAGACATCATCAAGGAATCAGTGCACTATAACATTCGCCTATTGCTAAACTGACTGCTTCATAATCATTTGGTTGCTAGTAGTAAGAAAGCCAAAGTTCCCCTTCTCATTTATTTTCTGCTCTTCTTCTTGGGTTTTTCATTCACTAAGGTGGATGGCCCAGCATTGGCACATGTGCAGTTCCCAGCCCACATCAGGTGCCCTTCCTGCTACTTGTGGGTACAGGGCTGGCTTGTCTTTTTCTTGCTCTGTTACTTAGTGCAGTACAGAACTCTTGACGTTGTTCACTGCTCACCAACAGCCCCACATAGCCTAGTCCCACGTCCACAGCAATCAAGTCTCCCTGCCTAACTCATCCACAACACCTGACAGTTATCCTATGGTTCTCTTAGCTGCCCCTGAGCACCTGGTGGAAGAGATAAGGAGAGATGGAGCAGATGAGGAGGCCACATCTCTTGGCCAGGTATGACTATGGTTTTTGGTCAGGAATGTCATTTGTATACAATCACTATTCTTATTATTTGAAAGGCAGAGTTACACTGAGAGAGGGAAGGGAGTGAAAGATCTTCCATCTAGTAGTTCACTCCCCAGATGCTTGCAAAGGGCAGGATGGTCCAGCCCAAAGTCAGGAGTCCAGTGCTCTATCCAGACCTCCCACAGGGGTTATATGGACCCAAGTATTTGGGCCATTCTCCATTGCCTTCTCAGGCACAATAACATGGCATCATATTGGAAACCCAGCCACCAGGACTCAAACTGGCACTTCAATATGGACTGTTGGCAGTGCAGGCAGCAGTTCAGTTCACTGTGACAAAGCAATGGGCCCAGTCAATGTTTTTTTTCAGATATAAAAATCTGAACACATACATTGCAGATACCTTCCACAATTTATTTGTTGGGGGAACATCCAGTGCATGTCTATTATAAAGTGAGACATGACTCAAGAGAGTCTTCATTAAATGACAGCAACAGTTACAAGGTATGTGGTATTGGGCATTTTCCACAATAGCTGTTTTGCATATGTTAAATTTTTCACTTATTTATTTTAAAGAATTATTCTTTATTTGAAAGGCAGAAAGACAGAGAGACAATGAAAGATCTTAAATCCTCTGGTTAACTTCCTACATGGCTATAATAGCCAGGGCTGGACCATGTGGAAGCCGGGAGCCAGGAACTCCATCTGGGTCTCCCACGGGTTGGTGTGGATTCAAATACTTGGGCCATCCTCCACTGCCTTTCCAGGTACATGAGCAGGGAACTGGCAGCATCGGGCCTTATTTTCTGTGAAAAGCTCACATCTTGCACACGACTGTCATCTATGCTTTATTTGTGGGCAATTGCCTTATGTACGGTATACCATCAAGTTTCCCAAAGTCAGCAACAGAAGAGACCTGTGCAAACAGTATCTGCTCTTATAGTGACTTCCTTTCTCTGACTGCAGGTGGACTCAAGATCCAGTGAAAATTGTAAGTATTCTAGAATGCCTCAGTTGCTGAACAACAACTGAAGCGATGAGAAAGTGGGATCTTCCTGCCTGTATTCTTCTGGACATGCAACCTGATTCCAGCTTCCTGGTGGATTAATAAGATTGGGGGTGTGGTGAAAGAAACAGATAGACTAGCCCATAGCTACAGGAATCTAAGATAGGACCTGGAAGTGTCTATGTCATTCAGATGGAGTGGGTATCCGTGCATCAGTATGGTGAAGTTTTTAATGAGTGAGTGTGTATGTCATTTAAAGTGCTTGCATGTGTATATGTGTACATATTTCCATGAAAAATGTGTTCCCAAATGCACAACTGAAGGTTCAATTCTAAAAAACAAAAACAAAAACAAAAACAAAACAAAAAAAACACAAAGAACCTGATCACCCTCTGCACATTATGTAAGTGAGCTCATTCAACCCTTGCCCCACTAGTGTCTGAAGGGTAGGTTACAATTCCATGGCATGCATATACATAGAGAGAGAGCTGGAAAATGTCAACATGATTTGATCATCACACACTGTCTGCATACAATGAATTCTTATGCTATAATCCATAACTATATACCATTATAGTAATAAAAACAGTGAGGTCAGAAGAAAAGTTTCAACATAATGACTGGTGCTCATTTTTAAATGGTAGAATTTCCGCATTTGAAAATCTTCTTTATTGACTTGTGCTGATACCTAGGGATTGGCAATAAATGAACATGATGCTTTGCCTACAATTGAGTTCTTCTCCCACTAAAGGTTGCTTTTAATTAAGTTCAGAAGCTCATAGAGGAATGACACACTCAAATAAAATAAACAGATGTTGATCCCTGAGTAGAAGTGACCTTGGGAGATCAACAGTAGCAGTTTAGCTTGGCTTTTCAATGGGCAGGAGTCATCCTAGAACTATTACTGAAATACAGCAACCATGGTGATATTTACCCCAAATAGTTTCAATGAATAAAGCTGCCTTGAGCTCAAAAGCTTAAGGCTCTGTTTCTCATGTCTTTCACATTCTTTTCCTTTGCCTTAGCCATCACCCCATGCCCATGTCCACCAATGCTCCCTGATGCACCAATATACTGACAGTCACCGTATGTCTTTTTAGTGCCCCTTGAGGATGCATGGGAGGAGCTTCCTGGTGACACGAAGGATAAAGAAACTCCAGAGTATACTGAAGTAAGGTTACCTGCCTTCCACTAAAATAGAAATCCTCCTTCCTTGGCTTCTTTCTTTCTCAATCATATAAAGAGGAGCAAAATCTGAATTTGGAGAGGGTCCATGATATACCCTGTGCCCAGTGAGCGTAACTGAAAGGGAGAGTTTACACAAATAGAAAGCTGACTCTGGACACAGTGAAAAAAAATTACTGCCAGGGCTAGACCATAGCAAGCTTCTCTCAGCAGGATTTACTCATCCTTCAAAAAAATTTATAATTTCCAAACAAAGTAGACTGGAGAGACACGTCCCCCATGAAGAGCTCATGTCTGTTGGCATGAGTATCACTGCTCTGCTCATGTCTTTGGATTCCCTCTATATGACCACTCTCTCATACATGGTTTCCCAATGTTACTAAGGGAATTAAAGAAATGTGCAAAGGGCAAACAGATTGACCTGATCCTCATGGTGCCGTTTTCTAATTACAGGTGATCTCAATAAGAACAGCAAGTGGTATGTATTCTGGAATCGCTTACTCACTGTAGTATGAATAGTCCTGATGATAGCACAGATGGGACTATCTTGGGGGCTTTAGTGTGGAAGGGCACCTGATGCCCAATTCCTGCTATAAAAGAGGACTGGAACCTGGTAATTTCCTGATGAATGGTAATGATCATTTACTGGTGTCCCAGGAAGATACTGGCTTGTGTATGGGAGTGGTAATTTTCTATGTAGGTATCCATGTGACATAATCCTGAGTGTATGACTTTGGCAGTTTCTGTGTATTACCCTAGTTATGTTCCTCTGAAGTCACTATCAATATCTCAATAAAAAAGCAATCATATAGGTTACAGTATGGTTACAGGAACATGTATATAAACAAGAGTGGAATTGTACACTTCACTGGGTTCTGTTCCTTATATGCCTAATAGATCTTGGTCATTCACATCAGTTTATCTAGGAAAACATCCCAGCAAACCCAGAGCAATCTTCACCTAGCTGTATAAGGACAAAACAATGTTTCAGAAGCACAGGGAATATATCAGCAGCACCATGAGGCAATAATACATCTCACTCCTCAGGAGGCCTCTTGCCTTGTGTTGCTAGCTTGCTCAGCATATTTCCCTTTTCACACTTCCCCGTTCATGAGTCTTCTCTGGGAAAGATATCCTCTGAATTTATCTGTACAACCCACAGTTCTGGTAGAAATATGGGAAAGAGGAGCCATCAGATAGATGTGGAGGAATTCTGAGACCTAACGTTGCCCTTCAATTCATGCTGCTAAGATGTCATCCATTAGCCTAACCATGGTATCTGTGTGTTATGTAAGAAATGTGGCAAAATTCAGAGACAAATGAGTTGGGGTTAAGATTTGACTGCCAAAGGGGACTCTTGGCTTCCTTTTCGGAGGGCCCTTGGGTGCCTGTGCACTGCAAGGTGGGAAAATGTCAACTCAGTCCTGGGTCCGAAGGACCCCACAATATTCCTTCTGAGCCTCCCAGTGGAAATTGGTTCCAGATTTCTTTGGAAGGCATTTCCAAGGAAAGAATTCAAGGTTGTGGTGTGAGGTCCATATGAACACAAAAGGAAACAAAGGATACTGTGGGATTCCTTTGGGAGAATGCTTTCTGGGGAACAGCATTGCATTTTCATAGAATTAGATGGTCTCTAACTGTCAGGATGTTTCCCACAAAGTACTGAGACTGCTTCTCTGACAAACATTTACTAGTGTAACTCACAGATTATCTACCCCAACGATATTTACTTATAATCTTTCATCTCTAGATCACTGTGCTCCCATGGTTCTGAAGGGTCACACTGCTGGGAGGGCTAAAAAGAAAAAAAAAAAACTGTGGCCAACAGCGAGTCTATGATGCATTGGAGGAAGCTTCCCCATGTGCTCTATGCGAAAGAGCAGAGCACAGCTTTGGCTGGTCCCTGGCAGAGGGCAAGCTTAGAGGCAGAAAGAAGATACTAGGACATTCACGCCATGGCAGGCAGCAGGGATCCCATGATTTAATTACCAGGAGAATCAGTTCAGCAGCATCACTTGGGAAAATAGAAGGAAGATGATTTCCCCATTCTGAGTGAAAATGAGCAGGACACATCCTTGATGCTAGCTTGAGCACTGTCCAGATGTCTTCTTAATGGCCTGGTAAGAGGAGGTCATTCCAATGTCAGTGTCTTCCATCTTCATTTCATGATGGAAAAGACACACAGAGAACTTGCTGAGGGTAAGATAATAGGAGGCATGTCTCTATTTCTCTCCCCAGAAGGGCAGGGCATGACTCACCAGAGATGGATTTCAGGTTCAGGCCAGATAAAGAGAGGATCCCAGGACTGATCCTTTGGGGCCTGAACAGGGAACAGGATTTTGGAAATCACCTCACAATTATTATCCATGCAGAAGCATAGAATCTGGAGGGGCCATCCCACCTCAGGGCTATCAGAGCTGCAGCACACTGCAGTAAGAGGACAGGTGGGGAGGGGCATGGGCACCAGCACAGGGCAAGCTCAGCACAATGATGGGGTTTATGTGCCCTTCCTGCTCCTCTGTAATTTAGAAGCACTGGAAAGTCCTAGAGTTCCCAGGGCCAAAGTCCATCTGTGTTCTAATCTTGTGTACAGGAAGCCTGGCCAGAGCTGGTCTGTCTTCTTCAGACATTGCCATCCACAGCCTGGCTCTTGGCTGTCCTTCTAGGGACCCATAGGCAGACTGAGGAATATATCCCTGGTCTGGGATGGAGCACAGGGATGGAAAGTTTTATTCCTCACTTTGCAGACACTGTTGGACTATACAACAGGCCGATTACCTGTCCAGGCTCTGACCCAAGTCAGGTGCAATCAGAATGAGCTACTGAAAAAAGTGTTCTTCCTGCACAATTTGTTCCAGCTGCTCACAGAATGCTCTCTCTTAGCCTGGGACAGGTCCATTCTCCAGCTCATACAACTCAGAGCATGCACATCATGGCTGGGATTTGGGGTTTTCAGATGCAGGCTGGAGGTATCATCATTCAGTGTATTAGGGAAAGTGAGATGTTGAGAGGTGGTGCCTTCAGCTCCTCTCCCTCACTGGAAGGCTGGAAGCTGTGGTCAATGTCTGCCTGAAGGTCAGGTCCACAGAGCCAAGGAAGGGTCTGAGAGCACAGAGGAAGGGGCAGGTTCATGTTGAACAATCCAGGATGTGCTCAGGTTGAGGGGAGGAATAGGAAAGACTATCTGTAAACATTTATTGTCTGTGTTTGTGTCTCTTAAGATTGGGTCTTGCAGAGCATTTCTGATTCCAACAGTGAGGATGAAGCCTCTTCAGGTAGGAGCAATACCCACAAATCCCAGAGAGTCAAATTAGGGGAACGATTGGATTATCTGCTGCTTTGGACTCCTAAGAGGACATATTAACTCAGGAGGAAAAAAAGACATTGTATGTAGACATCTGATTTGTTATTTTTATATTAATTGTGGAGTAGGAAGACATTTTATGCCCATGAGATTGGAGCAAGCTGAATTTTTAACAATCATTTCTTGCTTGACTATTTAAATGTTCACACTTGCTTAATACTGACCATCCCTGGCTTTACCATTGCAAAGATCAAATCCCCTGCATTGTGATAGGATAGCACTGCCTGCATATAGAGTACAAGAGATGTTTGAGTTGTGTGTTGACCATTATGTTAGTCCATTTTAGGTTGCAACACAATACCTAAGATTCTCTAATGAATTAGAAACAGAAATTTCTTTCTTATCAAGGTTGGCAGGTGAAAGACCAAGATGTGTCTGAGGAAGGGCTCTTTGTTGCATCCTCAACTCACTTGGCAGAAGGCAGAAGGCCATGGAATACAGTGGGACACCATCTCTCACACACACTGACCTGTACTCACACAATCCTTGTAGCAAGTGCCAGGTGATAGTGAGTAGTGGACCCTCCCCCTCTGTACAGCCAGTAGATAGAACAATTCTTGTGTGCTCTATCCTCACTGCCTACTTCCAGTTTACAATCCCAGTCTCTCACTCCCAGGGTTGGCCAAGTTAAAGAATACTTCCTCTGAGTTGACTGGGGAGGCCCCAGCAACTTAGAATTGTGAGGGCAAAGCATTAGTCTGAGTTCATCTTGGATTCTCCATCTCACCCAAGTCTGGAGTAGGCTTTATGACAGGCTGTTATCCAGTTGCTACTGGAGATACTGCATAGCTGTACAGGCTTCCCAGTGGATGTGTCTTAGGGGATTCTGGACTGGAAGTACACACTGGCCCTCATGGTTCTGCTGACCTCATCCCTTGGAATGTACTGGTCTCAGTGGATGGTCTCTCGGCACCAGGGCTGTGTGTCACTTTTCCCCTCAGATGCACTGCTCCAAACACACCAAGCTGTCTTGTTCACCTTCTAGTCATACCCAGCAGATTCCATGTCCTCAGGCATGCCAGGAGTCCTACTTCCCAGGCCATCTACTGCTCAGTGAAAACTCTAGAAAGTCCCATTTATTGATATGGCCAAGAATACACCTGCTATGGAGTCTCTGTTGCTTCCTTGGCAGACTACCAGAATTTGAACAAATTAAATTTCCACTCCTTATTGGGGCATCTTTTCAAATGGGTCAGGTAACATAGTATTGCACTGATGATTAAATATTTCCAAACTCCACAAGGTTAACCCAGATATATGGTGTGGGTGCTTGTTACCTTTCCAGGACCCAACAGGAGACCATGGCACTCACTCCCCATATAAACAGTGGTCTTGGTATATTGCCGTGCATGGTAATAGATTTTTAAAAGATTTATTTATTTGAAAGGCAGAATTACAGACTGGGGGGGGCAAAAATAGATCTTCCATCCAATGTTTCAGTCCCTACATGACCTCAATGACCAGGCTGGGCCAGGCTGAGCCAGGATTCTGAAACTCCATCAGAGTCTCCCAAACAGCAGGCAGGGTCCCAAGCACGAGCCATCTTATACTGCTTTCCAAGGCATATTAGCAGGGAACTGGATCAGAAGTGGAGAACCAGGGACACCAATCAGTGATCCTATGGGGCAGTCACCACAGGTGGCACTTTAAACTGCTGTACCACAATGCCAGCCTCAGGTGGCAGTATATCATTATCTTGGGCTCCAAAGCTCCCATCACAGACAATAATATGATTGGTGGAGGTTGACCAGAACAAAGGGAATGGACAATAATTATGAGACAAAATTGGGGAAACATGAAAGATGGAAAACAATGTGTTACACAGGTTGACACAGGGACCATGGCTACCTAAGGGAGGAACAAGGTGACACTTCCTAGCCACTTTTATGGGAATCTGAGGGCTGAAAGAAGAGGTCAAAGTTCAGAGATCCTCTCATTACAAAGGTGAAGCCACCCAAGCCCTGCAACAGGGGTGTAGAGACGGAGCTCCAAGAGGGTCCGAAGGTTGGCCTACATCATCCAACCAGCAGCAGGGGTCCAAGTCCTCACCTCAAGTCTAACTCTTCCCTTTCCTTCTCTCTGGCAACCTCATCACTCCCTGCTCCTGTGCAATCAGAAGGCTACAAGGGAGCATCTGAACTTTCTCTTGGGAGCAGCGATCTGGGTGTAAGTGATTTCCACATTCATCGCTTTCTGATTCTTTGGCTTTCTTGCTCAAAAGCTCCTATTCCTTTGTCTCCCTCATTCCCTCCTCAACAGAGTTGATGATTCTCATCCTGAAGGACCTGGTGTCATCCAGGCAATTGATATAATAGCAGTGTGGATGCTGATCCAATCTCTCTATAGCCCCCCCATTTGATCAGCCTTGTCATCACTCCTGACCCCAGACTGCCCTATGAAATGGTGCTGAGCAACCTGGCTGGCCCACACAGGGAACTGGCCTGGGGACAGGCAAGCTGGGTCCCAAACTTGGTGGGAGGGATGACTCCAGGGAAGTCTGAATCTGTCCTTAGTGTCTACCAAGACAAGTCAGACAGGTCTTTTCCTGCAATGCCTGCTTCAGGAAACTCACTCTGGTCTCCTTCCAGCTGTCCACATGTTCCCTTGATGTTAACTACAGTCAAAGCCTTCAGGACATGGAGGAACTAGACAAAGAAGCACAGGAACTGTGAGTCTGAAGCAGGTAGACAGGGGTCAGGGAAATCAGGGCATAGATTCCATTGCTTCACATTCTTTGTGACACCTCAGGGATGACAACAAAATGGAGCCCAGAAGTGGAGAGACTGCCATCGAGCTTGACCTGGAGAGTGGAGATGAATGGATTTTCAGGATCCACACAGGTTAGTGAAGAATGTACCCTGAGGTGGTCCCATGGAGCACATCCCCATTCCATGGAAGCTCCTAGAGCTGCTAGGAGGACTTTTGCTTTCATCTGAAGGGAAGGCTGGAGGTGTTAGCAGGATTGGCAGGCAAATGACTTTGGAGGGGGCTGTTAGTTGTGTTGTTAATGGGAAGAGCTGCCATAGTTGTTGAACATCTCCCTCTACAAGATGCATCCCTACCTGCCCATCCTGAAGTCAACAAGGAGCCTCACTGGTGTGGGGAAACACAGGGGGTTGCCCCTGACCACATCCAACTCAGGATGATTAGGAAGAGGCAAGACAGAAAGAGGAAACTTTGAGTGCCTTCTCACACCAGGAAGAGAGCCCAGTATACCCACCTTTGTATCTTTGTGGCTACCCACCCCATCCTGACATCACATAAGAGCTCACACAGAATGCAAGAGCTGTGGGGATTTGTCCAGACCTTTTGGGGCCCTCAGCCTCCTTTCTCAGAGGCTGAGGATAGAGGCTTTTTAACATGCTGATTGTTTTATTTTTGTGGTTATAAAGTCTTCTATCTTCCTGGCAAACTTAATTGTCAGCAAATAAGGCAAAGCTCACTTTGAAGAGTGGCAGGAGCAGGGCAACAAGTCCCCAGTGTGCTCATTTGCACTGATTTTATACTTCAATTACAAATACACACTGGATATACAACTCTTTCAAAAGAAATGTCATCCATCACTTTTTCCATGCTGAAATATACCAAAGCAATAATGGTTGGGTTTTAATGCCACAAAATAATTCTTTGCCAATAAAATCTCCAAGATGACTTCCACATGGAGGATAGAAAGAACTTCCGCAAGATTAGGGAAGGAAACCAAAGAGCTCTGTGCAGTTGTCCATAATTAACATGCAGGTTACAGGCCTTTGACCTGTGGGGTAAGGACTGAAAAGGCAGGGTCAGGACTCCCATTCTGTGTCATAAGACCTCCTGCTCCTCACAAGACCCAGGGGAGTGGGCCTTGGATTTTTAATCCCAGTGGCCCAGAGACCTAGCCTTTCCTGTACATCAGGTTCACTGCCAAAGTGGCCAGTCCCCTGAAGGATGCCCAGGTGAATGCTCAATGGGAATTCATAATTATAGGACATCCATACCCCAAACAAATGGGCCTCAGTGCAACATGGCCCTGACTGCTGTGCATATCAGGACCTAGGGTTACCTCAAAGGGCTTTTGAGTACTGCACACCCATCCTGTTGTCCCTACCCCTACATCATCCTTGTCCCTCCCACTGATCCCTGCACCCATGTCATCTTTGCAGACATTTTTAGCTCCTTGGATGATTTTGGTGTGGAGTACTGGGACGCAGAGGAGCTGGAGTTTCCCAAGCCATCGGAAACTTGAACCATACAGGAGGAGACAACTTCAGAAACATCCCTCCTCACCAGTCCTCTGCTAGATTTGACATTAAATTCTTGTCACCCAGTACTAGTGATTTTCACATGCTTTTATGTCAAAGAAAATCCATTATAAGAAAACACCTTTAGCAAATGTAGAACTTAAAATGACCAGAGAGCAGTCACCCTAGTGAATCCCACCACCATTAATGCCTCAAGAGGAATCTAGTTTGGTCTTCACTGAAGAAAGTCACTGCCAGGTTAGCTGTTTCACTCTGTCCTTACAGTAATGACTTTCTAGGCATTTTGTCTCACATCAGTTCCTTCCTCTGGAAGGGATCATGGGGTCCATCTCAGATCTCTGAAAACCCCTCTTTCAACTTAACCTGATTATTTGTACTTTATAGAAAGGCCTGATATATAAGGGAAAATGTCCCCGAACTTTGTGAATCTCAATTTATTCCCTTTATATGGAGGGTCAGTATTAGTATCTCTGAGATTATGGAGTTATTTTCAATGTCTACAGAATTATTTTCTCAGTGTGACTAGTTAGCCTTTTCTTATGGGTCACCATTTCATTCATGGGATCATTAAGTTTTAGATTCTTTTGATTTCTTTGAATCAGCAAGTTTAGGAGTTTTTTTCCTTATTTAAATTTGTGTCATTTGAGTTTAGAACTAAAAACTTCCACTTTACTTTAACATCAACCTTATTTCAGAAAAATTTGATTTCAGATACCAAATTTTTTTAGTTAATTAGTGATTGATATGCATTTGAATCCCTTAGACTATTAAACAGGTACACAAAAGTTCAGATTCACCTAGGCCCACAACTCCAGCAGAAATAAGTTTTCTTATTATTATATATATATAATACATATATATTATATATATTATATATATTATATGTATTATATGTATTATATATATTATATTATTATTATTCAAGCATATACATCAGGCTTACCATGAACTCTTGTGTTTGAAAGAGAATTGCCCAGGATCACCCTTATTGATTTCTCCTTTGTTGTCTTTAAATGCATTATCTTGGAAATAAAGTCTCAAAACAAAAGAATTCTTTGAAATTTCTGTGCTGATGTAAAAAATTTCATGTGCCGGAATAAAAACCTGTCATGCATAAAATATCATGAATCCAATTCTTGATCAATTAAAGATGTACAAACATAGACACATACACACACACACACACACACAGAGAGAGAGAGAGAGAGAGAGAGAGAGACTACAGACTGGGTGGCTTGGGCAATACAATGTTGATCATTACCAGGAGTTCATGAATGATCTTCTGGCTTCCTGTAGCCTGGGGATGTTCTACTGCTCACTGCTCACTATCTATGTATACCCCATGGTAGAATGGTTGAGCCAGGCCCACAGTTGCATCATTATTTTCAAGATTTATTTATTTATTTGAAAGGCAGAGTTACAAGAGAGAGAAAGAGAGAGATCCCATTCACTGCTGGTTCACTGTCTAAATGGCCACAATAGCTGGGACTGGGACTGGGAAAGACAGAAGCCAGGAGCTTCATCTGGACCTCCCACATGGGTGTAGGGGGCCAGACACTTGGGCCATCTTCCACTGCTTTCCCAGGTGCATGAGCAAGGTGCTGGATCAGAGGTGGAGCAGCAGGTCATAAACTGGTGGCCATATGAGATACCAGTGTTGGTGGTGGCAACATATCCTATGATGCCAAAACATTAACCCTCAGAGCTGCATCTTAACCCCACCTCCCCACATATATACACACACATGGGCATCCCTTGATAGCAAAAGACAAGATTGATACCATACAGGCTCTTCAAGCTTCTGTTACCCTGCAAGCATGTAGGGGTGAACTGACCCCAAACATTCCAGGCACCAGTTGGCAAGATCCATGGATGACATGGTGTATAACTGTGACTTCAGAAACACAGGCATGGCATGCAGTGGAGGCACTGGGCTGGCCTCCTGATGCACTTGCGTATGATGCAGATAGTTCTGAGGCATCAGGTCCAGAAGTGATGATAAAACTGGATGGAACAGGAGCTACAGTCTTAGACACAGTGAGCAGCAGTCCAGAGAAGTAACTTCCTTGGAAAACAGCTGAAAATCACTCATGTTAAGCCTCACATATGCTTGGAGGGATATTATGGACCTTTGGCTGGTTTATTGGCTATTCTAAAGGGACATGTGGGAGACAACAAATCCCCACATCAGAGGCTGAGGTAGAAGCACAAGAATGGGTCTAATAAAGGACCTTCTGTTGGTGAGTGGGTTATCTCCCTTGTTGGAGGGCACAGGGATGTGAACTTCTATGCATAATCTAAGATCAGGAGATAGGGACAGACTGAGTTTCTAGATCAGCCATGAGCCCCTGGACCTCATTTCAACAAGATTTCTGGATGACTACTGGTTCATCAATGGGAATTTCAGTCCTGCAAGGGATACATAGCAAAAGTAATCCTCTTGGACACATTCCTCCCTTGATGTATTTAAGGAAATGTGTGAAAATACTGAATGAATATTTAAAGGCATGTATATAACTTCATAAATACCTCTATACTTTGAAAAATAATGTTGTGGGGCTGCGCTCTGGTGTAGTGGGTACTGTTGCCACCTATAGGGCTGGCATCCCATATGGGTGCCGGTTCAAGTCCTGGCTGCTCCACTTCTAATGCAACTTTGCCTGCTCCCAAGTGGTTGGGCCCCTACACCCTCATGGGAGACCTGGATGAAACTCCTGGCTCCTGGATTCTACCTGACCCAGCCCTGGCTGTTGCGGCAACCTGGGGAATAAAACAGCAGATAAAGATCTACCTCTACCCTCTACCCTCTACCTCTACCTCTCCTTCTCTGTAGCACTGCCTTTCAAATACATAAACCTTTTTTAAAAGAGAAAAAAGATAAAGTTGTTTCTTACTTGTAAAGCACTATCTTTCCTTCCAGGATGTTTCCCTCTCAAAGGAAGGAGGAAGTCAGGACTACCTTTAATTTACAAATGTGTACACCACAAACACATAAAAACATATGTATCCTAGAAATAAATCCCGATAGAAACCAATCCATAATACCCAGGTACATGACTTTCACAATACGGTGGACATACATAACTAATATACACAGCCCTCAAGGAGTTCATACAAAATCAGACACAGACACACTCATGCTCTTCACATAGGGGCCATTGAGCTCTCCTCTTCTGTTCTGGAAAGCATGGGGGTCAGAAACACCCGGAATGACCCTTTGCTGATATTTCCATTCACCAAGGATGTCACCAATCACCATGGGCATGTCAGTGCATCAACATCAGTGGAGAATTGGCCTCTCTTTCCTAAGAAACCATGGCCACTCATTTTTAGAAGGAATACCCACAGTTTGAAAAACTCATGGTACTCAAAGACTTTGGGGTCAACAAGGGTAGGTGAAGGCTTGCCTCTAACACAATTTGTTCACTCATTCAGTGATTCTGGTGAGATTATCTTGTAGGTAGTATACCTAGGCACCAGGTCAGAGAGCACAATGCTGGACGGATGGTCCTAACACAGGGCAACCAAAATGGGGTTCCTTGGGGACTTCTCAGAGCTCAGCACATGGCACAGGCCTGAAGGCTACACACTCGGTGAAAGCCACTTCTGGTCCAAGCAGCATGTCCTAGAAAGACTGCCCAGGAGAACTACAGGGCCAGCTAACTGACTGTCTTGGAAACACCTGGAGTCCACATGCTATATGCTCCCCCACCTTTGGAAAGGCACTTAGGATCCATGGCTGGTTACCACCCCTTTCTGACAATACTTCACATGAAATATACTCCTCACCAGGTCAGAGGCTGGATGTCTGGCCTGAAAGCCCTGGTGGAAAGTATAAGTAGAGTGTCTAATTTAGGGTCCACCAATCCTAGGCCAAGACACTTGGCAAAACTGTTGGAGGTGTGTGCACATATAAATTGCCCATGGACAAAACCAGGAGTCAGGACCATGGGTCAACCCTAGTCCCCTGTTCATTAACCTTTCCTTGCTTCAACAATGACAGGTGGAAACTCACATCATGTCCATAACAAAAGTTAAAACTAGACAAATCCACATTATAGACACATCTGTAAATGTGTATACGTATTGAACAAACCTCTGAGGAAGCATACATAATTGTGTATATATTCATATTTGTCTACAAAACACAGTCAATTGTTCCTTTAACTGTGGAGCTGTATGGGATGATATGACATTGCAGATGGGAAAAATTTACTACTGTCAATATTTCTAGAACTGTAGACATTCAAAAATACATGCAAACATATATGTCTCCAAAATGAGAAACAAAAAAAAAGGAATCCAAGAATCTTAAATCCACATAACAAGACAATGTACAAATACAAACAACTATACACAAAACACTGGGGAACACAATCTGACAAACATAGACACATGCATAATGTATATAGACTATTTGTCCAGGAGGCATTGGGTCCTCTACACCTCACTGGCAAGCTTGGAGCATAAGACACCTGGAGACCCTTCACTGCCAATTCCAGGGGCCCTTAGTGCATACCAATCACCAGGGCCTTTCCACCAAAATAGCCTTGACAACAAGAATCTGAATCTTATTGGGGAGATGGTCACTCTTTCCACCAAAGAACACATCCTTTGATTCAGCCATGAGCCTGAGTGACTCAGAGTCCAACAGAACTAAAGTTAGGCCTCTCTGTGGAGAATTTTCTCACACAGAGAGCTATGTTCTGACTTGGAGCTAGTCCTTGTAGGCCTGAGCTCTGGTGACATAGGCTGGTGGCACAGGTCTGCCATGTCATAGAGCCCTGACGAAACCTTAGGACTTCCAAGGATCTCCTTGGATGTTTATGGCCCCCATGGCTTCCATTACAGGAAGGGAGATGGTCAGCCAAGGGCTCCAATGACCTCAACCCAGCCAGGGTTCTACACTTCTGGCCCATGATGGGCAGCTTCTGTTCTGTATGCTATTCATAGCTAAAATAGTGTTCTTGGAGAAACATACACTTTAAAATATGCATACACATTGAACAAACTCCTAAAGATACATACTTAACTCTCTATTTGTACCACTCTATAAACATAGGAAATGGTTCCTTTACCTGTATAGTTGTATTCTTGCATCTAGGATGCTTCAACTCCCTAGGAGAAAAGAGTACATTAGCACCATTATTTCTTTCTTTCTTTTTTTTCTGACAGGCAGAGTGGACAGTGAGAACAGAGAGAAAGGTCTTCCTTTTGCCATTGGTTCACCCTCCAATGGCCGCCATGGCTGGTGCGCTGCAGCCGGTGCACCACGCTGATCTGATGGCAGGAGCCAGGTACTTATCCTGGTCTCCCATGAGGTGCAGGGCCCAAGCACTTGGACCATCCTCCACTGCACTCCCTGGCCACAGCAGAGAGCTGGCCTGGAAGAGGGGCAACCGGGACAGAATCTGGCGCCCCGACCGGGACTAGAACCTGGTGTGCTGGCGCCGCAAGGTGGAAGATTAGC